TTGTTGATCTCCCACAATGTTTTATAGAAGACATTTAGGTGAAGTGCCGGCTTTTGCTAAAATCAGATGTCTGAAGTACTCATACTGATTACTCCCCCCCCCCCTTCTTGATTTCAATTCCCCCCTTTTTGTCGAATACCGACCGTTTTCGCCCCCCCCCCCCTTTCCGACCTCGGGCGTACTTTACGGATAGCCCCCTACTCACGTGTACAGGAAAATAGCCAGTTGTTCACCTCACAGATTCAAACCGGCGAAACGAGGTTGATTCTGAAGGGGTGGTGGGCTCGGCTCGCCGGGCTGGCCGCGGATTGCGCGGGTTTAGGCGCGGTTCGGTTTGGTGGCCGCGGTTGTGCCGCTTGTGCCGCTGGCTCGGCGGCGGTTCACCGCCGCGTGGATCGCGCGGCGCGGGGCCTCGCCACCTTTCTGCACGCGATTCCTTCCGCCCCGAGTGGCGGCCCCCTCCAAACCCCCGCGGCCCTCGGGCCCCCCGTGTACACAGAGGTGGTCGAGACTCGGCCCCGCCGCCGGCCCCGGCCTGGTTATGGCGCCGATTGCAGGACAAACAAGCATACCGCCACCGTCGTCAATACCACTCGACTCTGGGGGCTGCAACCCTCCAGGTGACCCCCATGTTGGGTCAGTAAAATATGTTCTTGACAATTAGTACATTCCTATTTGATTGGAATGCTCTCAACACAAGGGCAATGGTTCTCAAGGAAATCAAGTACTCGTAAAATGAAAGAAAAAAAACGATAACAATTCTTGTCCTTGTCTAAAAACACAAGCTTTGAGAGTATATGAGTGTGCTGCTGGCTGGCACGATACAGGGGGCAGCGGTCGAATTAATCCCATGAAAATTCGCCCGCCCAACTTGTTTTATTCTCGCGGCCCGAGGAAACTGCAGGAGAGACTAATGGGAAGAGCGGGCTTTAGGGAGCGTGGAGAGGGAATGAGAGCCTTAACCCCGGGGCGCCCGCCCGCCCCGCCGCTCCGCCCAGCCTTTACAACTGTTCATCACTAGCAGCTTTCGCTAAGTCCGAGAGCCACGTGGGCGGCCGGCGCGGCATCACGTGACGCCGGGGTGCTATTTGCGCGTTAGGTAGAGGTTGGGGGGTTACTTCTCCGCCTCCAAAACTTGCGCTGGCCCTTCCCCCTTCAGCTTATCGCTGGAACGCAAAGGGCCTGGCAGCCAGTGAAACAGGCCCGAAACACGTCACTACACGGATTTATACTAATTTGTCTGGACGGGGGAGAGTATGAGAGAAGGAAATGTATGTTGTGAAACGGAATGGAGGTGGGAGAGTAGGCGACGGTGGAGGTAGAAGGGCGGGATGGGTCCTTTTGACTCCTGAGCCGTCACGTCGCACGCAGACCCGCCCCTTCCCAACCCGTCCACCCTCCCCTTCGCGAGAGGCAGTTCTTTCCTTTGCTGCTGGACAGAAGTTTTACTCTGCTAGGATAATTTAAACTGGTGTTCTTGTCCGAGCATGATATGGCACACCACACCCCCGCTAAATGTTTAATTCATCCAAAGCCTTCGTATACTAGCATATACATTGTAATTCTGAAAGTATTTTTTTTTTCAGCTTGTAAAGCATTTTTTCGCAATTTCAATGCCCTGCAGTCTCTATAAAGTCTCGTAAGCCTTTAAAAATTTTCAAAGCGCAACGATAAAGGAGTGAAAGCCAAGTATTTTTGCCTGAGCTGAGAGGGGAAAGGGGGGGAGAATACGCGAAGTGCAGTCCTCGAGCGGGGCCCAGGGTTTGCCTGCCCCTCTTTGAAGCGCCGTGGGCGTGCCTTGGTTAGTTAATACCATCCAGTACCTGGCAGCTACTCGCCACCTTGCAAACAGGTAGGCCTGAAACACGGAACCTCCAAACAGACAAAAAAAAAAAACAAAAAAAAAGAAACACCATTTGTTGGATATATGACACATTTTTTACAAACGGACTTCTTGATGGACGTACGTCGCAGGAAAACATGGCGAGAAACGAGTGACTTGCTGGAGATCAAAGACGCAAGACGACGAATTCTCCAACGGACGTGACGGGCCGGGTGTCACAAAAACGCGTCATGCCACGGACGAGTGGCGCAGCAAGCTGCTTGATTGGCTCCTTGTGTGGAGGAGGGCGGTTTTGAAAGGATGTCTCTTGGGTCTGGCAAAAAGGAAAAGAAAGGAGTGTAGAGGGAAGGGGAAGGGCGGGAAAGCGAGGGCCACACACGGCGCCACGTACACGCCGCGCTTCAGGGAGACGAATGAGTTCGAGTCACGAGGTCCCTGCTCATCTTAGGTCGAAGAGTTTTTGTGGAAAAGGTCGAAAGAAAGCGTGGAAACGTTTGAAAAGTCGATATTTGCTAGACATTTTACGAATACAAGTTACAATACTGGACACCGTAAAATTTGTTTTTATCTGGAAAGAATTTGATTGAAGAAAACATACCACTTAAGTTCACGCTCTCTAGAGGAGGTGGTTCTGCCTGGATGCCAAGCTCCTCCGTTTCTTACTTAATTTTTCAATGCCCTTTCCCCTCCCCTCCTCCCGAGCAGATAAGGTGGGAAAGGAAATCGACCAGTGAGGCCAGCGTCGGCGGGCCGGGTTAGGCCGGCGAGGTCCGGGCCGGGGTCCACCCCGCCGCGGCGCCCCCCGCTACGCCCTACGGCCCGCGGCCGCCGCCGTGGGGCGTGGGGCCTGGGCGGCCTGCGCCCGAGCCGTGCCGAATATAGACGAGTGGCCTACACTGCCCCTGTCGGTCTGGGAGACGTACTCGTCGGCAGAGGAGGCAGGGCCGAGCCGATGATCACGGCCATGAACTTGACTAACCACAAGAGGAAACGGAACCTGTCACATTTTTCGCGAAACACATTCGTATTACCAGCAGGTATTTTCATTATTATTTGTGCTTAACTAAAACTTTAAACAATTAACAATTGTCGAAGATCTATCGTCCCCCAACAACTATTGGCCGCTTGATCTCATGAGCAGCTCAACCCTTACTATTATTGTTGCTGTCGTCCTACATGAGTAATATGCCCTTTTCCTTCCCTACGTTATCCCTCCTTGTTTCCTCACGGCTCACGGTACAAGAGTCGGTCGGCAGCCTTTTTCAAGGCTCGTTTTCTTGGCTAGCTGTGAGACTAGACCAGCACCAACTATAGTCTGCGACACATTTTAACGTAGCCAGCGCTACCACTCCCCTCGGCCTGGCCAATGTTTTACGATGATGCCCCAGTGTTTACATTCTCCCTCGGAATACAAACACACCGACACAGCGAGTTCCCTACCGGCGCAACTCTGTCCCACCCGGCTCGTTCGTCTTTCCTCTACGTCGTGTAACAAGGATATGGTGGGTGGAGGTGAGGAAATCAGGTTTCCGGGTCTCCTTGGGCACCATCCAGAAAGTACGTCCGATTTTTCTAAAATTCGTTCAGCGAAAAATGGGAAATGAGCACCTGCGAGGCTCAAGGTAGGCCAGCCCGCAAAACACACTTGCACTACACACGAGAAGTTGCCTACTCACAAGGCGCTCCGAGAGGTGGCACAGGCTGAACTTGGCAGTTTTGGAACAGCGAATCATGGACGTACTTTGTGGATGATCCCTTGGTGCAGTGATCTGCACACTTTGCAATAACGAGTGTCACATCTTAATCAAAGCGTATTCCATAGTTAGATTTGCATGCACTAGTGCTGCTTCTGTTTCGGTGATAAATTGTTATGGACTGAGAAAAGTACTTTATTTGTTGAAGAGCATTTTTTTTCGATGTTTGTCAATGTTTTAACGAGTAAATATAAATATACGCCACATGTTATTAGGCCCATCCTTGAGAGAGAGAAAGGACACAAAAGAAAGAACGACACTAAAACCTTTTCAACGACAGTGTATGATGGGAGCGCACGAGTCGTCTCAACGCGTCGCCGCGTCGCATCGTAGGCAGCCGAGCGTAGAGGGTCGTGGCGGGAGCCAGAACGCCATAGCGCCACCTTTGATTGGCAGAATAAATTAGCATGGCTAATGTTGATCGCAGGCCTAGCATGGGGGTGGGTGCAGCGTGTTAGGACGGGAGACGCGGCGACAGACGGACAGCGCGACAAAGGCCTGCCCATCCGCTTCCCTGTAGAGAACCGACCCCCTTAAAGAGGGTGCAACGCTCGTAAAATATTTACACCCCTACACGTCGAAGGGGGAGAGGAGATTCTGGAATTAAACACTTTTTACCGCTTTCTACCCACATTTTAGATTGATCGGCATGACCACTATTCAAAAACTGTGTGCTGCGTTATGGCAAGTTCTACCAGTTATCCTACAGATATATCTCAATGTAAATTTCATCGTGAAATTCCCCATACTTTTTAATTTACGATGTTGTAAATTGATGGATGCTTGAATTTACTTTAGCCAATCTCTATCTAAATAGTGCAATTGAAGGAAAGGTCGTCAAACAGACTTTTCAATATGGAAACTTCTGCCAGTTATCTCACGAATAATTCTCAATGTGTTCATCTGATTTGGCTTTGCGCTTAAGCATGATGAACTGAATAAGCTTCAAACGTATACGGAATGCCGAATGCTGCCTCACGGTGAAACGGAGTGTCGGCGCATGTGTAGACCATAGTGACATTTACTAGTTCTAGTTTGCTGGACGTAGAAGTATTTTTTCAGACCCTGTATGTGTATTTATTTTGTTTGGTTTATTCACAGCTATTTTGAACGATTATTACTCGTCGCCGCATTTGATGCACCTGCGCACCTGTTTGAAAGGTAACCGCGTCAGTGTACCCACCCACGCACCTGCGCACTTGCACTTACCTCGCACTCTAATAGAACTGTTCCTTCGAACCATTTCCCTTTTAGGTCGTGGGATGCTTTAAGATAGGATCATTTTAAAGATTTGGTATTCCTCCGAATCTAAAATCTAATTGAGGATTAAAGTATCCCACACACCTGAAATGTATTAGAACGGTTTTGTGGCATGTTGTGTGACTCTGGCATCACTTTAGTTTTTAGAGCAGTACTAGTTGTAAATTGTGGTAAATGTGCTGCCATCAGTCACAAAGTGTCTCTACCTACATTTGCACCTGTTTGCACTGCACAGCATGCTAGTTTGCTAGTTTTCGTTGTGTTTGAAGAAAACATATATCTTCTTTTTCTCTATGTGTGGTTGATGCACTAGTCAAGATAGGTGCTTTTATGTACGCTGCATCTAGCATCTGCTCACCTTCAAATAACTCGCAAACCGTTAAAGTTTGTTGTGTGCTCTCGCTTTGATTCGGTACCGACTCGATAAGTTTACAAAGTATCCGAGACTTTTGGTAAAATCTGTAAAATACACTGAGATTTCACGGTATCTTTCCGCCGGAAAATTGCATCCATATTATACGAAATTTGACTGGTGACGAGGACGGTGGTGAAAGTATCTGCTTTCTCCTAGTGATTCGGCAAATACTGCTTCATCATATAGGCTAGGGGGAGACTGCTGAATGGGTCCATTGAATGGAACGTCGCCAATGAACGAACCAATGAATGTCTAAGCGGAAACGTAAATCTACCCCTCCCCACCCGAGCCCAACAAGTGCCGAGTGCTCGAGTTTCCACCACCGTTCCAGTGAAAACTGCGAATGGCTTGTTGAATACTCTAGATGAAAATAAGAATTATCCAGTAGCTTTTACTATGTTAAACGTTTGTCGCAGTGTTGTTTTTTAATTTATTTTCTTTAGTTAGCTTATTAATCTTTTTGCGGTTATTCTTTTTCTACAGCTTGGAGCTTTGTGTATTCCGAAAAGGACCCCTATAATGCCACACCCCAGCAGAATTTCGCAGTTCGGTGACCTTGTGTGGCAGTGTGCAGGAGAGGGGTGGGCGGGCATGGGCAACTGGACCTTGTTCCTGATTTCGAAGTGGACACGGCCCTAATCCCCAAGGGTCCAGCCTCTCCAGTCTACGCCACACAGGCAGGCCGCTGGGCGCTGGGGCCCTTGGTTTGGGCATCAGGTCCTACTCCCCTCCTGGCGGGGCCCTGCACTGGCACCCTGTCGATTATCGTATACACTGCAAAAGTAAACGGACCCTGTGCGACGCTTTTCTAAACAGGAATCAATTGAATATACATACAATCAGCTAATGTGCCCACATTTCTAAATTAAACATTGACTATAGTCTATAAGAAGGTCTATAAACACTATAGACATATTGTTGCTTTAATAAAAGAAAATGCTCCTCACAAATTTGACTCACGAGTGGGAGAGTGTAGAACA